ACAGACAGACAGACAGACAGACAGACAGACAGACAGACAGACAGACAGACAGACATAGGTAAAGGCAGAGACAGAGAGAAGGGGGGTAAAGAAAATCAAAAACAAAGACAAAGAGGGATGAGAGTGGTAGAGATGGGAAGGAGAGAAAACGAGAGAGAGGGGGGGTGGGAGAGGAGAGAGAGAGAGACAGAGAGAGAGAAAGAGAGAGAGACAAGCAGACAGAGAGACATAGAGAGAGACACGGGAGACAGAGAGACAGAGATGGGAACAAGTACTCACAGATAGTGGAAATACATATATAAACAACGTCACAATAAGACTAATTTATACATGAGATGTACACTGACAAATGTTCCATGCCTTTCAGCACTGCTTCGTCAACTATTGAAGAATTGAATAGAACGTTTCATAAAGTTAAACCATTTATAGAGGCATCCGTAGAACATACATACTTTTTTTATTGTTTGACAAACCGAGATCTGGGAAATAAAACTATTAAAGGATTACCTTTTAAGAATCAGAACATACCTTTTTTTAAAGGATTTACAGACAGGAAGATTGCCTTTAAAATGCAGTAATGCGAAGCAGTTTTTAAAAAGAACAGAAAATACATGTCATTGGCGTTGCTCCAAATTTTCGCGATTCTTACCAGAAGAATGAAGGCACTGTAATGATAGAAGATGTTTGGTGGGCCCGTCGCCTCATTTTGTTAGATTTACAATGCTTTCTGCTTTGAAATTTCTGTCTTAGCATAAAAAGTGCTCACATTGAACAAGTATAGGCTTGTGGGACCTGTGCAGTTAGGTGTTCCTGGTATATGGCAAGTATGTCACACGACGTTTAAATAAATTATATATATATATATATATATATATATATATATATATATATATATATATATATAAAAAATATATATAAAATATATATATCATCTTTTATGTTAATATGTGACTGTCCCAATAGGGATTTGGGGTGGGGGGGGGGCATCAACTTCTGTTAAATGCTATTTAATTTTTTTGTTTAATAACTGTTTGGTAGATTGCCATGCTTACAGACTACTTCGCTTCATTGAAATTTTTCCAGTCATTGAGGGACGTCGCCAATTTCTTAATATTTATGTCGTATATCTCTAAATTTCAGGGAGCTCTGCTTTAGGACTCTCAACCATAAATTCTTGAGTTCGAATCGCGTCAGGGGCCCAAAGTTGTCTCCTTAGGAAAGACATTTTAGATGAATTTTCTTTACTTCACGTAGTTGCTGCAGAGCGTGGATATATGCGTTATATAAAAGGAAGTAGTAGTAGTAGTAGTAGTAGTAGTAGTAGTAGTAGTAGTAGTAGTAGTAGTGGTGGTAGTGGTAGTAGTAGTAGTAGTAGTAGTAGTAGTAGTAGTAGTAGTAATAGGAGGAGGAGGAGGAGGAGGAGGAGGAGGAGGAAATTTCGAATTTTTCACGGGTGGCAGCCGAAGCCTACCCTTATCAATTTAGGACCACCAAGGGATCTTTAACGTGCGCAACTTGCACACACGCCTCCGAGGTTTTTCGCCCTTGTCCGAGAAAGCTAGGTGTAGATCTTCCCTACCTGAAGATCACGGGTGTGGCTGAAAGACAGCAGTAAGACGGAGCCAAGGAGAAGCAGTGGAAAAGCTGCAGAAAGAGTCAGGAACCCAGAGGAGGGAGCAAAGGAAGTAGTAGTAGTAGTAGTAGTAGTAGTACAGGGTTTTACGGTGCTCGCAACTGATAAGGTCATATGAGCGCGCGAAAGACAAGTTGGTAGCATTCGCAATAGTTCACAGCACGGTTGGTCGATAATTAGATTTTAAGATGCTAAAATACTAACATTCAGTGTAAATATATTTGCGATTTAAAACAACTCTTATAAATAACAATTAAATTTTTTTTACAATATTGTTTCATTTTACAATTTGCCATAAAGGCCAATGGCTTTCATAAAATTCAAAATTCTGCTGGGACCAACGACGGAAAAAATGTCTTGCAATTTCTTGCATTTATAATATTTCCTTCGGATCTCTCCAAAGTCTAGACATTCGGTTAAGATGTGACTAATTTTAAAATCTGTGTCGCATCCGACACAGAACGGCTTCTCATCTCCCTGTAGGAGGTATTTGTGGGTCAGGGCCGTGTGTCCGATGTGCAATCGAGTAAAAATTACTTCGTCTCTTCTGGAGAGGTTAGAAGGATTTCGCTTTCTAGTTTGGGTTTTATATAGTTTATTGTTTTTCTGTTTTTCCCAGTGGTTCTCCCACAGACTGGAGGTGTACTTTTTGACATTATTTCTAAAGTCAGTCTGTGGGAGAGTGTTTGTCGTTGACCCCAGCAGAAGGGATGAAGCTTTCTTCGCCAGGTCGTCTACCTGCTCGTTTCCTTGGATGCCCACATGGCTAGGTATCCATGCGAACATGATGTTTTTTCTTGTCTCTGATAGTGTATGAATTTTCTGTTGTAGCCTAACTATTTTTGGATGTAGGAGTGTGTAGTTTGTGAGTGAGGTGATGCAAGAAAGAGAGTCTTAAAGGATTGGGAAAGATTTGTTTGGAGAATTTTCTACTGAGTCCAGTGCCATGTCAATGGCAGTGACCTCCGCAGAGAAAGTGGAGGCTTCAGGATCAAGTCTCCTCTGGTGTTTACTTTTGGGAGATAGAGCTGCGACGCCCACTTCATTGTCTTTTTTGGAGCCATCTGTGAAGATGAGCTCCGCACCGGGGTGTTTATCTATTAGTTTTTTGTATTCAGCTTTAAACGTTTTGGTGTTTGTGCTTTCTTTTTTGTGTGTGGTCAGCTGTAAGTCTACTTTTGCCTTGGTGAGAAGAAGAAGAAGAAGAAGAAGAAGAAGAAGAAGAAGAAGAAGAAGAAGAAGTAATAGAGGAGGGGTAAGGGGAAGAAGGGGGGTCGGAGAAAGAGTCCACCCCATCCTCCCCAAGAACCCCAAAGCTGTTAGTCAGTGATACCTGGAAGGCGGGTACCACAGTTTTAGGAGGAACCTTTTTGTGTTTCGCAGTAAGTCGCTTGCTGACCGCGGGTTCTGGGGGGTCGGCAGTGGAACAACTGGTCGGCTTCGTGACTGGCCGGAGTACGCTTGCATATGACCGGCCAGGAAACGGGGTCATACCTCGCGGGCAGACAGCTTTTCGGGCTTCTTGAAAAGAGCAGCCATTTCGTGCTTTATACTCTTGGATTGCGCGTTCTTTAATCCAAGTTGGGCAATCCTTGCTGAAGGCTGTGTGCTGGCCTTGGCAATTTGGGCAGCAAGGACTAGCCTTGCATTCCTTTTCAGGATGTCCAGTCTTGCCGCAGCGAGGACACACGGCTGCACGTCGGCATCGCGACTGACTAAGGCCAAACGTCTGACACTGAAAGCAGCGTAGAGAGTTTGGCACATAGGGTCGCACGTCCAAGACCAAGTATGATGCCCGAACGGTGGCTGAAGGGCGGCACGAATCAAAAGTTAGAATTATTGTGTTCGTTTCTAGTGTGGACTCCCCCCGCCGAATAGTAATTCGTCGGGCTTCGACCACACCCTCACAGTTATCCACAATTTCTTGGTTGGAGCAGCCCTTCAGCTCATGGCTGCGGACCACGCCCTTCGACTGGTTAAACTTCTGGTGTCGCTCGGAAACACAAGGAACACCACCGAAGGTCGTAATCTTTTCAAGTCCGGCCAGTTCTTTATCCGATGCGCACTTGATGAGGAGAGCACCAGAGGACAGTTTCAGGACATTCGTAGGAATGTATCCTAGAACCTGTCTTAGAGCATCTCCTGTCTTGAATATGTTTAGATCAGTGATCTTTTTCTGCGCATCGGTGCTGCGGATGGTCAAGTACGGCTGCTGCGGAAGCTCCCTGAGAGGGGGGAAGGCGGAGACAGACGTAAAGGTCCTTTTCCCTTTAGAAGTTTGTTTGCTCGGCTCGGCGGCCGCACCCGCTTCCGCGAGCCGAGACTTTTTGGCAACGTTGGGAGTTGGGGAAGGGTTTTTAATAGAAGATGAATCCATGTGAGTTTTTTTAGGTGGTTCAACTCCGGGGCTTCCCGCCCGACATCGAGCCCAACAAGGGGACACATTGCTCGGATGACCAGAGCTGTGCCAGGGCTACCCCGGAGCTATACTCTCCACGAGAGTGTATAAAACCCTCCCGTCAAGATTGACCCAGGGCTTCATGTTGTTTCAATCAACTCCCAACCGATTGAGAGGCATGGGCTGTGCCACCCTCCCGTCTAAAAGGAAAACCTGGGCCAAAGAGGTGTGTTGGTGAGGGACAGTCCGTAGACTAATCTCACCTCAACCGCCAGGTACCCGGTTTCCCTCCGTACGGGTAGCACCTCAAGGTCAACAAGGCGCCCACTCTGTGGGATGGGTGACCTCTCTTTTTTCTGCACATGAGGTCAGCTGTGGGAGGAAAGATAGAAGGAGAAAGAAAGAAGGAAGGAGAAGAGGAAGATACACCAAAGTAAGTGTTGCACACGAATTCCAGAGAGTTGGGGTCCGTGTGCGACACTCCGCCTTTGAGGGGGTTGCACCTTCTGCAGACGAAGTAGTGGGTCTATTTATATCCCCCAGACCAACTGGGGAGCAAAGGAAGTGAGGGGGGGGGGGCAGAAAGTGGATACGAAAGCAGACGACAGAATGTAGCTGGAGAGCAGGAAAGGAGGTGAAGGGAAACAATTTTGGAGAAGAAAAACGTTCCGTCACTCCACTGTTTCGAACCCGGGACCTTTGAATGAGAGCTGAACACCTTAACCTCTAAGCAGCTACGAGAGCCCCCCATTATTATTATTATTTTTATTATTATTATTATTACTAGTAGTAGTAGTAGTAGTAGTAGTAGTAGTAGTAGTAGTAGTAGTAGTAGTATTTTTATTGTTATTATAATTCTTATAATTTTCATTATTTTATTTCGTAGTAGTAGTAGTAGTGGTAGTAGTAGTAGTAGTATTTGTATTATTAGTAGTATTATTAGTATTATTGTCATTATTATTTTCTGTTAGGATTATTATTAGTATTATTATATTATTATTATCCTTATTATTATTATTATAATTGTTATCATTATTGTTAAAAATTATTATATAATGCTCTAATGAGGTTGTACGGGGCTGGGTCAGTTGAGAAAATTACTAAAGGGTTGAATCAAGCCCGTCGATATATGCGTCAACACACCAACTAATCCTTTTTTTTTTGCGTGTTTCTTTGTTTTGAACTGTAAAATAGTGCATGTTTGAAAAAATTCCGATTAAAATATAAGTTATGGTAAAATCTTGCTGCATATAACTTAAACGGAAGAGTGTAATAAACCGTTTGTGGAACGTGTCTCTTACCTTGACTCTCCGTAGAGACAGATTCTTATTGCTGACCACGCCAGAATTCTCCCTACTGCTGCCTAAATCTCTGGCTCCAAGAACGTGCCCACGCCGTGGGCCTGGGCTGAGGCTGGTGTACAGCGGTACTCTGCTAGAGATACTGCTCAGGCGGGCTGTGTGTGCTGTGGGATCTAAGATCGGGGTCAAAGGTGGCGAGATGCTCGTGCCAAACGTCACATTGTTGAGCGAAGAACCCGTACTTTCGTTGCTACTTCTGTTGATGAAATGCTCCGGCCGTCCACCCAAAAGGTCGTGTCGAATATTTGAGCTATCACTGCCTCTACTGGATATCCCATCTCCACGAGAGGATTCTTCTACAATGTTTGGGGCACTTTGTTCTGATTCGACGATATGAAAGACAACTTTATCCGAGTTGAGAGCTGATTGGTCCGTCTGGATTTTGTCGTTTTTGCTCTCGGCGACATTGCTGTTCTGACCTTCCTGTAGTGAGGTCAAGGAGAGGAGGTCGGGGTAACCTCTTCTGTGATGTGCATCGTCAAAGACGATACTCCGACCTCCGTTTGCGAGAGATAGAGGAAGCTTGGCCATGGCATTCTGCTAGCTACTGGTCTGAAAGAAAGAGAAAAAAGTACAGAAAATGTTATTTAACGTAGACATTAGTGGAGACGTTTTACCCTACCGTCGCCTCAGAACTATTTTGTCCAAAGTGCCTCTTCAAGTATACTTAGGACAAAATAGTTCTGAGGCGACGCTGCATTAATACCAGTGTATTTCATGAAAACCAATATGGAAGCGATCATGTTAACTCTTTGAATCTGTAGCGGACACATAATAATATGTTCGATCAGGAAGCAGACCAAAGGCAATGTTTCGACGTATTCTGAATCATCATGCACAAATCAGAAAATGAACTTGCATATTTCAAAGTACGAATTTTTGCTGCGTGCTTTTTAGAAATTCAGATACAGAAAACAGAAAATAAAATCCTGTTATAATGATGGAAAGAGAGGCAGAGGCAGACAGAGGGAAAAGATACTGGACAAGATGGCAACATGGCTAGGAGCTGCAAGAACAACAGATACCATTGCTGCAACGCAAGACAGGGTGAAGTGGAGGTCCATGATCGCCCACGCAAGTCGGCAAGGCACCGGATGATGATGACCCCCCCCTCCCCCACCCAAAAAACCCCCAACAAAACTGCGCATCTTTAAACGTTGTCGAATGACCAGATTGTACGTCCCCGATGAATTAAACCAAATAACACAGTTCCAATATATTAATTGATCAGCCGTTAAGATTGGAAGAATATGGTTTGATATACTAAAAGATTTTGCCTACCATTTGGATAATAATTTTTCTTCGAAAAAAATCCTAATTAAACAGACATCAACCCGAGCTCTGTCCTAAGTCTTTGATCAGAGACGGTAACACCTAAAGCATTAATTTAATCCCTCCAGAGATTAATAATAACAACAATAGACATAAAAAATTAAAATGTTGACAACGGTATTACGCTGATCAGGAGAAGGCATCTAGTGAAACAAAGATCAATATTCCATAGGCTAAATCTGGTGCGGCTAGCTTTGTTCCACTTTTGACGCCCACCTAGAAACCAGTGGGGGGGGGGGTTATCCAAAGATAGGGCACACTAATATTTGCAAATAAATATAATATATTTTTATTTTTGGTAAGTGTTTTACAGCGCTCTCAACTCCATAAGGTTATATGAGCGCGTGGGACACATTTAACCTTCAGTTGGAAGGAAATTTTAAATCACACCGAGTGGCGGCCTACTCTAATCGTTTTTGGACCACCAAGGGATCTTTAACGTGCTCAACTTGCTCACGGGACTTCCAAAATTTTTCGTCCCAGTCCGAGAAAGCTAGGTGTAGATCTTTCTGACCATAAGATCAGGGGTGTGGGTGAAAAACAACAGTAAGAAGGAACCAAGGAGTAGCAGAAGAAAGGCTGCAGAAAGTCAGGAACCCAGAGGAAGGGGTAAAGGAGGTGAGGGGGTGAAAGCAGAAAGTGGAGACAAAAGCAGACGACAGAACATTCTAGAGAACGGGAAAAAAAGGTGAAAAGAAACAATTTTAAAGAGGAAAAATTTCTGTCGCGATCTGGATTCGAACACGGTACCTATTGAATAAAAATAATGTTTGTATAAGTAAAAAGAACACTTCAATACAATAACGGTCACTAGGTACCATGAAAATTTCAGATCGACAGAAAAACAAATAGGGCGAGTATTAGTATTTGGCACGTCTTGTCTTGGTCGAATCTGTATTCTCAGGTTGGGCCCCGCTGTCACGCAACAGTAATGTGTTACAACCACACTAATAAATTTTAGGAGGCGGGCTACTTCGACCCTTCCAGACAGAGCCAAACCGGGTTGAGTGGTATACAGCATTTCAGTACACAAATGGATTACTAGACAACCAACTTCCCCACTCTGACAACGAGCCAACCAGTAACACCATAAACTCAGGTCCTATTCAGTATACACTTGAAAACACTCAACTGATCCGGAAGTTAATCAATTTCTATAAATCTCTGAATGAGTGTAGAATCTAAGTCACTGATCACACACAAATCAATGTTTGAGTACAGAGAATCATTTCTTTAAATTAACGTCCGTTTAACCGCAGGGGAATGTATAATAGAGAGTCTAGTAAAGACCGACAGACATAACAAACATAAGAAAAAGAACTAGGACCTACCAGCAGCGTCTTCAAACCCAGCGCATACACATCAAAGCTTTGACGAAATTAGGCAGGAATCAGTCACAATGTCCTAGATGCTGCTTCGCGGAATCACAGCCTCCTATTCTATACGTTAAAAAAACCATCAACCATATTGTGTCACTTCGATCAGTAGACGAGGGGGGGGGGG